TCCTAGGGCCATGATTACAAGAACTGGCCAGGAGGATCACCTTGGTTGTGCCGAACGCCCCACAAACACTGCACTAGACTCGACCTCCCGCACCACTCCGAAGTCTATGGGAGGAGCGCGCCAATCGAACCGGCCTGGGGAAACCAGTACACGGAAACGCAGCCACTGCGCCTGTCGACCATTCTCGACTTCCACAACTTATGTAAGCGTTCCTCTTGTCCACTCGCACGAAGTCGTGGCCGTTCGCGTCAGTCACCAACTCGGGTACAGCTGGTGCCTTCAGCCTCTTGGCTCGGAATCTGTCAGCATCGTTGAAATTCATCCTGGGTGAAGCTCCCCCGACCCCCGCGATCAAAACAGCGAGGCCTCGAACCTGTACATCAAGGGCTCGGAGTTCGTCAACGAGACTGGGGGGCATACTGTGCATCCTGGCACCTAGTTTGGCGAGTCTGTCTGCCTCTCGGTTGCCCCTACAGGCCCACCAAGCACAGCCCTGGGCGGAAGCGTTGGCCCAAAACTGGTGGCTGCGAATGTTCTCCGCAGTCATAGGCGCAGTGCTCTCTTCGCACTGTCCGAAGAGATCACGCCACAACTCGGCATACGCAGCGTTGTCCAAGGACTGATGGGGCCCAGCCTCCCCCTCCTCCTCCCACATGGGGGAGGAGGAGGGGGAGGAGGAGGAGGAGGAGGAGGAAGAGGAGGAGGAGGAGGAGGAGGAGGAGGAGGAGGAGGACGAGGAGGACGAAGAAGAGGGAGGAGGAGGAGGAGGAGGAGGAGGAGGAGGAGGAGGAGGACGGGTTCCACCCCCACGTGTTTGACAAGCATCAGGAGAGCATAAACTTCGGCGCACCCCGCCTGCTGGACAGGACGGGGGCAGGGGACCGTGTGCAGGGCGCCGTCCAATGCTCCATGGCGGCCCACTTGGACAACACCCCGGCCAGCTCTTTCCAGCGAGATGTCCCCTGGGGACAAGGCGGATCCATCAATGGCGACGTTGCCACTCGAGGCCCCATGCGGGGGCAAGGCGATCCAGACTTGAGACTGGTCCATACGAGGGGGACGGGCCTCAAACGCCAGGCTGGGGACAAGACATCTGGCGGTATCGATACCGTGTGGCGCAACCTTTTCGAAATCGGCGATGGCCTCTGGCACGTCCAGTTCACGGCGAGCCCACCATGTCGCAGGGCAGTCCACAATCCTGTGCTGGAGCGTGCCGAGGTCGCCGCACAGCTTGCACTTCGGGAAATGCTCTGCGTCGGGAAGCCTCCAGAAACGCATCCAGCCAGGTAGGCCGCCTCAGCCACCTGACCTCGTCCTCTGGGTCGCCTCAAGACGTCCCCAATAGGTTCCAGTCTGGGGGGTCCACGCAAGATACTAGCATGAAAGTTGGTACCTTCGAGGCTCTTGATCAAGGCCTTCTTGGAGCCCACGTTAACCAGGGTCTTCAGAGACTTATTACCCAGGTAGCCAAAATCATAAAAGGGTGCCGCTGGGGCCTCTCCACACAAGAGGGTGCTGGCCAGTCCACCCAAGGCGCCCAGGGGTACACCAGACAGCTCGTCCAGGGCCCCGAACACGATTCCAATAATCCACTGGACCCTTCTGGGCCTGCTCGAAAGTGTTCTTCATAAAGACTCATGGGCAACCAGCACTCGCGCCACGCCTGCACCCAGGACTGGAGGGGGAGGAGGTTGGCCTGGTAGGTCGGGTCCAAGGCAGCAGGCCGGCGCACAGCACAAACTCGAGCGTTCTTGATCGCCCTCGGGAGACGCCGAAAGCACTGCGCGCGATGGCCGCACGGATCTGCGAGAGCCTCTTGCTGAAGACACCGTGCACCCTCGCGCCGTACATGCCTGCAGGGAGCCCTCCGGTCTTCGAGATCCGCTTGGCTCCTACCGCTGCGGATCGGAGGGCTCGAAGCCGGTGTGCTCGAGGTTGCAGCTTCGAGGTCCTCGCAAGATGCACATTAGCCCCAACACGGCCACTGGCCCGAAAGTCCACTCCGAGGTTCTTGGGAGACTCGCTATGCCTGAACTTCCAGCGATACAATTTCGATGCGATATCCTTTGAAATCCAACCATGGGAAGCTACCACTACGCCCATGGTCCTGGACACGATGAGGCACATGCGCTCGAGCTGTTGGCACAAGAAGAAACTGTCGAGGCCAAGCCCCGTGGCAACCGCTTTGGCCTGACCAACAATGCAAAGCGTGATGTCGCCCACCACGTTAAAAACACGCACGAATCTGAAAGCATTCGCCGTCATGCCGAGGGTATCGAGGAGGAAGACTTTGAGGAGGGTAGTAGCACGGGTGCATCAGCCAGGATAGCCTGAATTGCAAACGCACCCTGGGAACGCATCTTTCCCAAAGTAACATGCCGACGCCCCAAATAGACGGTGAGGAGCAATATGAGAATGATAGCGTTGAAGTAGTTGTGTTTCATGGCCGCCCTCACGAGGAATATGTGGGCAACTTTCTCGTAGGTTTTGGTGAGGTCGAGGAGGGAGGAGGAGAAGGCGATGCCCGCGTTCTGAGCAAAATCTCCTAAGGATGACTGCTCCCAAACAGCTCGCTCACATGAGCGCCCTGTCCCTCCTCCTCCTCCTCCTCTTCCTCCTCCTCCTCCTCCTCCTCCTCCTCCTCCTCCTCCCCCATCATCCGCCTGCTGACCCGCCTCCAACTCATCCTCCGCCTCCGCCTGCTCCTCCTCCTCCTCCTCCTCCTCATCCTCCCCCTCCTCCGCCACTTCCTCCGTCTCCTCATCATCAGCATCATATCCGTCAGCATCATCAGCATCATCACCACCATCAACAACAACAAGATCATCAGCATCATCAGCATCATCGTCATCATCATCAGTTTCATCATCATCAGCAGCATCATCAGCAGCATCAGCAGCAGCATCAGTAGCAGCATCAGCAGCAACAGCATGATCGTAATCGCCATCATCGTCAACAAGATCATCGTCATCAACATCGGCATCACCACCATGAGCATCATCCTCATCATCCTCATCATCTGAATCAGCATCATCATCAACATCGTCATCATCCGCATCATCACCATCATCAGCATCATCCTCGTCACTATGCTCCTCCTCCTCACCCGACTCCCCATCCTTCTCCTCCTGCTCGTCTTCCTCATCAGTTTCTTCCTTATACACCTCCTCCTCCTCCTCCTCCTCCTCCTCCTCCGCCTCCTCCTCATCATCATCATCATCATCAGCATCAGCATCAGCATCAGCATCAGCATCAGCATCAGCATCATCATCACCATCATCATCATCATCATCATCATCATCATCATCATCATCAGTATCCTCCTCCTCTTCCTCCTCATCCTCCTGCTCCTCATGCTCCTCCTCCTCCGCCTCCGCCTCCTCCTCCTCCTTTTTCATCCTCCTCCTCCTCCTCCTCCTCCTCCTCCTCCTCCTCCGCCTCCTCTCCTCCTCCTCCTCCCCCTCCTCCTCCTCCTCCTCCTCCTCCTCCTCCTCCTCCTCCTCCTCCTCTCCTCCTTTCCCCTCCTCCGACTCCTCCTCCTCCTCCTCCTCCACCTCCTCCTCCTCCTTATCCACCTCCTCCTCCTCCGCCTCTGTCTCCGCTGGGCCCTCATCCTCATCAGTGGTCCTTCATCTTCCTCCTCTTCATCCTCCTCCTCATCATCTTCTCCATCGTCACCATCAGCAGCATCATCAGCATCAGCATCAGCATCAGCATCATCATCAGCATCAGCGTCATCACCATCATCACCGATGTCAGAATCATCATCCTCATCAGCATCCTCATCATCAGCATCATCACCATCATCATCATCATCAACATCATCATCGTCATCAGTATCAGCAGCATCATCAGCATCATCGTTATCAGCATCATAATCATCGTCAGCATCATCATCAGCATCATCAGCAGCATCAGCATCATCATCAGCAGCCGCATCAGCATCATCATCATCAGCAGCAGCATCAGCATCAGCCGCATCATCATCAGCAGCAGCATCATCCTCATTCTTATTATTATCCGCCTCCGCCCCTGTGATCCACATCAACATCATCATCGGCACATTCATCGGTATCCTCGTCGGCATCCTCATCCCCATCCTCATCGGCATGCTGGTCTTCATCAGCAGAATCAGCATCGTCGTGTTCATCCTCGTCCTCGTGATCACCTTTATCATCACCACCAGCATCATCAGCATCATCATTATCACCACCACCACCACCGCCACCACCATCATCATCATCATCATCATCATCATCATCATCATCATCATCATCATCATTATCAGTACCATCATCATCATCATCATCATCATCATCATCATCATCATCATCATCATCCACAGGATCATCATCACGATCAGTATATCATAATAATCGCGATCATCAACAACATCATCAACACTATCAGCAGCATCATGATCAGAATCACCAGCATTATCTTCAGTATCGTCGGTAGCAGCAGTATCGTCATCATGATAATCATCAGCACCATAAACATCAGAATCATCAGCATCATCACGAGCATCACCATCATCATCACAAACACCATCAGCATCATCATCATCAGCGACATCCTTATCATCATCATCATCATCATCATCATCATCATCATCATCATCATCATCATCATCATAACCATCATCATCATCATCAGCAGCATCATCATCATCGCCAACATCGTGATCTTTATCATCATTATTAGCATCAGTAATACCATTCTCATGCTCAACATAATCACCACCAGCATCATCAGCAGCATCATCATCGTCGTCATGATCCTCCTCCTTGTCCTCCTCCTCCTCCTCCGGGTCCTCCTCCTACTCCTGCTCCTCTGCCTCCTCTTCCTGCTCCTCCCCCTCCGCCTCCTTCTCCATCTCTTTCATCCCCCCGTCGCCGCGCCCGCTGGGCCACCGCAGTCGCAAGCGCCACGAGAGACGCCTTGGAGCCGAGTGCAGCACGATGCAGCACGGCACACGCGAGGGGCGGCAACCCGGGGTCCTCGCTCAGAACTTCGTCCAGTCGCCTGGCAAGCGCAGCACCTTCTCGTCTGCCCCCTCGTCTTCCTCCATCCTCCTCCTCCTCCTCCTCCTCCTCCTCCTCCTCCTCCTCCTCCTCCTCCTCCTCCTCCCTCTCCTCCTCCTCCTGAAACATTGACCGGTCTTCCATCCACATAGACTGCAGCGTCAATCCTCCTCCTCCTGTGCCTCCTCCTCCTCCTCCTCCTCCTCCTCCTCCTCCTCCTCCTCCTCCTCCTCCTCCTCCTCCTCCCCCAGCTGCCCGCCGCCGTCGCGGGCCCGACAGCACTGCGGGGGCCAGCTGCGGCAGGCAAGCCCTGGCCTGCCGCTCAGCCGCAGGCCTTCCTCTCCAAGCGAGAAGGCGTTGCCGAGAGGTCGAGAGGAGGAGGAGGAGGATGAGGAGGATGAGGAGGAGGAGGAGGAGGAGGAGGAGGAGGGGGAAGGTGAGGCAACGCCGAGAAGGCGAGGGGGCGAGGAGAGGGTGTGAGAGGCAAAGCCGAGGATGCGAGGAGAGGTACTGCCCTATTGAGCTACATGAGCACACACACTGTCAGAGGTCAGCGCGGAATTATTGGATCGGCGCTGGACCCCACTGGCGGCGCCTCTGGCGCCGCCCATGGCGGGGTGTCTGGCCTAACTTGGTCGCGGGTGCCGGTCTCCGTTGCCTCCTTCCGCGCGGGGCTGATGCCTTCAGTGAGGCAGCCAGCTTCTGATCCTCGAATCTCCCCTCCCCCGTGAGGTGGAACGATACGTGGGGGAGATTCGCTCGAGGGGGGCGGGGGAAACACCGACCTGGAATCGGCGATACCTCGCCGATAGATCAGCGAGTGGCCCCAGGTAGCGAAGTCGCACGTTCAGGGGGCGTGGGGTAAACATCGACCTGCAGTCGGCGATTCATCGCTGGTAAGTGGGCGACAGGCTTTCGATAGCGCAACCATACGTTCCTGGGTGGGATGGGCTATCAGGCCCCCATCAGCGAGGGATGGGAAACTGGGCGTCGATGCGTTCCCCACTGAGCATCACCCCCCCGTCTCTGGACACTGATGGACGACAGTGTTCACCAGGCTGTGACTGCTAGCCCGAGCGGTCGGGGGTCTCCGTGAGCACCGACTGCCCTGCATGTGAAGGCAAGCGCTCGGGATTCGAGGGGGAGGCGAGAGGAGGACGATGTCTCCCCATCGTTGCCCCGACCTCCCACTCCTGCAGAGCACTCCGACAGCAGCAGAGGCGAAGAGCCGGGGCAGGGGTGAGAGCAGCGGGGACACGGGCGAGAGCTGAGTTGTTCTCTAAAACGCTGTGGGCGGTTTTTTCGCGTGTTCAACTTTTCGCGCTGCGGTCGACCCAAACATACCAAAAACGGCAACCCAACACAGAACAAAAAACGGCACCGGCCGAGCGACAAACGAGCGAACAACGGCAACCCAATACAGAAAAACAAACAAAAAAAAGGCAACCCCAAACAGAAAACAACTGGCATCAAAAACGAATCGAAAACGGCGAGACGGCATTCCCAAAAAGGAGAAAAAACTGCTCCCAAAACAGAAAACAACAAAAACAAGCGAAAACAGAAAACGCCGATGTTAAAAACCCGGCGTTTTTTTTTATAGAACGGCAAGAGGACGGCCATGTGTACACTGGCGTATCCTTTGCAAAGGGATGGCGGCCGTCTGGCAGAACTCGCGCTGAACTGTGTGCTTTCTGTCGGCGTGTTGCTGTTCTCCTTCGCTGCCTTCGGGGAGAAACGAAGTCACAACGAAGACGGTCCACACAACATCGCCAACGCACCATCCAGCTCGAGCCGTGCCAACCAGACCACACGTGCAGACCGCACTCGGGCGGGAGCACGACTCCCGAAGGAATTGTGAGGGAGCCTCATGCGACATGGCTGCCGGACCGCTGCTGCTGATGCTGCTGCTACTCCCCCTCCCCTTTCCCCTTCCTCCTCCTCCTCCCCCTCCTCGCTCCTCGCCCTCCCCCCTCCCCCCTCCTTCTCCCCCTCCCTCCACCCCTCTCTCCTCCCTCCTCGCCCCCCCTATCCCTCCTCCCTGGCTGGCTGCAGCAGGGGGGAATGTGAGGGAGCCTCTCAGGCGGCATGGCAGTGCCGGACCGCTCCCGGACAAGGGCGGCCTGGGGCTCCTCGCCGTCCCCGCGGAGCTCTTCTGCGCCAGTCTCTTGCAGCTGCTGGCACCCTCGGGCGAAACGCTGTTCAAGTTAGGTCGGGCATGTCCTCCCACAGGCGCATGTCTGAAGAGAAGGAATGAGTAATCCGAAAATCACCTAGAACATAGCCCCCGAAAAAAACAAGCAAAATCGTCCCCAGACCATTCCTCCTGTAGAGAGGGACATGCCCGACTTACTATAGATTGTGGCACCCTCTAGCGAAACGCTATTGAGGACAAGCCTGCACAAACTGTCGGGGGTCCGCGCGGACTTCTCGGATCGGTGCAGGGGCCCCCTTCCTGGCGCGAGGTGCGCGCTGGGAGCCTCGCAAAAGGGCGGCGCCGCCAGGCCCCCGACGACGACGACCGGCGACGACGACGACGACGACCGGCGACGACGACGACGACGACGACGACCGGCGACGGCGACGACGGCGACGACGGCGACAATGACAGCGACAGCGACAACGGCGGCAGCGGGCGGCGGCGGCGGCGACGGCGGCGGCGGCGGCGACGACGACGACGACCACGAAGAAGACGACGACGACGACCACGACGACGACGACGACGACGACGACGACGACGACGACGACGACGGCGACGACGACGGCGACGACGACGACGACGGCGCTGGCGCAGGCGGCTAACGACGACGGCGGCAGCGGCGACGTCGGCGGCACCCGCGCCTCATCAGGCTCGGCGGCTCATCCCCCGCAATCTCGGGCGCCCCGCGGGCGACCAGCTGGTCCGAGAGTCCTGCGGGCCGGGCGGCCGCGGGCGCCGGAGACTCGAGAGGTTTTGCTCTCAGCGAGAGCAGGCAAGGAAAGGCGGATCGAGAAATATGCTACCCCTCGGGAGGGCCATTTCCCATCGCGCGCTTCATGGGCCAACGGGAACAAAGCGAGATGCGCGCACAGCAAGTCGTAGGAACGCGGAGGCAAAACTCAGTGACAAGCGAAGCGGTCGGAGCTGGGACCAGGCAGGGCGGCAACCAAAGTAACACCAAGACTCCGAGGAGATTGAGGAGCTTCTGTACCGCGTTCGAACGCTGCTCGGTCCTCTGATCGGGTGTGCGCCGAAGAAGTGGGTTCAGGAAGAGGGGGGCGGTTAGCGCGTCACGGCCCCGAGAACGTGCGCAGACGGGGGGGCGGGGCAGGGAACTCACTGGATGAAGAGGAAGACAAAGAAGGAGAACAATAAGAAGAAGGAGAACAATAAGAAGAAGAAGAAAGAGAGGAGGGAAGGGCCATGAAACCTGTGAGATCTCAAGGCCCCGCAAGGCCCCCCTCTCGAGCGCACCCGATCTTATGGTGCCGCCATAGGCCTCCAGGGACCTCTGGGACTCCCAGTGACCCCCAGAGGCCGCTGCGTTCTTCTGCGTGCGCGGCCGCTGCCGCAGCCCAGCACGGGCACTGGCCAGCAGGAAGGCCCCGCGCGGCAGCAACGACAGCATGTATTACGCTGGCGCGGTTCTGCCGGCCCGCACCACGGGCCCCAAAAGTGCGCACAACTCGGCAAGGTCAGTTGGGGCACCCTCGGCCGCAAGCGGGTATCTTGACCCTTCCAGTTGCGGTCAGGAAAGTTTGCTCAGCGTGTCGCGGCACCGGCCCCGGCGACACTGCATGCCCTGCGGGCGGACGGCGCTGTGTGCGGCAATGGCCGGCAAGTTCTGCAAAACCAAGAAAGCCATCACTGGACATACAGAAATAATCCTAGAATGCCCTTGGCACAGCGATGTTCAAGTAGTGAAGAGCACGCTTCGTATATTGTATAGCCCCCACCGGGGAACCAGAGGTTCTCTTCAATGTGCCAAGGGCACGGCTACTTCCCTTGAGAAACAACTGCAACAACACGTCGCCAGAAAGTATACACACATATAAATACATGTACCTATGTATGTGCAGATGCACAAACAAAACATAGACATAAGCCGAACGATACACATCATATTATACATATGCAGCTTCATGTATAAACACATGTACACAGACATAAGCATCTACATAGCATATACATATCCATACATACAAGTACTTATACACATACGGTTACCTGAAAGTGCACATACACATACACAAGTACATGCACACGTATACATACAATCATACATACACGCAACATACACATGGCTACAAACAGTTACATCCACGTATATCCATACGTATACACGTATACACAAACACACACACCTATGCATAACCGTTAACATGTGTAGAAATATGTATATTCGTGTATACCCACATGCGTATACATAGTGTTATACACATACACATGCACATGCATACATGCAGGTACATCTACGTATACATAACTGTAAATGTCTGTATAACTATTCAGATGCATACACCGAGACCTAAACATCGAACTCTAGACATATATATACACACACAAACATATACATGTGCACATGCACATGGATATGCATATATATATATATACACACATAGGAAAAGGGTAGGATGGGCATTCGACCTTCGACGTGCATTATGTGTGGCACATGGCTTACCTGGCGTGCAATACGCGGTGACAACATATGTATTTACCATAGCATAACAAAACATACCAGATCATATACATCAACTTTAAAGTTACAGGACGGAAAAAACTATGAACGAACACCTTAGAACATCGCATTCTACGGGTGAGGAGATAGCGTGCCGCCCTGCTCCGCGGGACGGGCGTTTGGGAAATAATCGGGACGTTGACGCTTGGGGGCTGGGATGTGGTTCAAATGTCTCGCCGAAGCACGGTGGCCCAGAACCGGCGGCGGGACACGCTAAGCAAACGCCCCTGACCGTAAGCTGAAGCAGGCGCTGCCTGTGCATCGCGCGACAACGCAGCAGCCACCTGCCTCCGCGTCTTCGCTGGATCGTAGGGCATGTCGCAAGAGGGCACTGGCAGTCTGGGCGAGGTAGTTTGAAGGCAGACGTCTAACCCACTTAAGCGGAGAGCTTGCTTCGGCAAGCAGCTTACCGCGAGGTTAGGAACTGCTTGGGCGGCGCTTTCCCCATCGCAACGCGTTGACCTCCTCGACTGTCATATTTTTGTTTCGCTGCTCCGGCGAGGCTCTCGGCTGGCAATCTGACATAAGATACGCGACCGTCCCAGACCCCAATCCTGAATAATTTTGTTGGCGGATCAGGGGCCTAATAAGGGCCCACGCACGCCGCAACTGACGAAAAACATCTCCGTCGCGGATGGTTCACGACGCGAGGGGGTCTGGTGTTCGGGTCATAACTCGGATCTACGGCGGCCGCTCGGAGACGATTCGGGCACTCCCGGAACGCCACTGGCGAGGCGGAGCTGCTGGGAAGCATCCCGAGACTGGAAAGCCGCTAACAACGAATGAAAACCGGCCGAAAACCTCGAACCGCGAACCTCCATTCCAGTGGGGCGCAGCAGCTGATGGCATTCCGAGGCTGGAAAACTGCGGAGAATCAACGAAGCCGCCCCCAAAAAAATCTCGAACCTCGATTCCTCGACTCCTCGATTCCTCGAGCCTCGACTCCTCTGGGGATCTACGCAGACTGCCGCAAACCTCGAGCCTCGAACGACGCCGCGCGCGAACAGGAGGGAGAGGAGTAAGAGGAGGAAGAGGAGGAGGAGGAGGAGGAGGAGGAGGAGGCGGAGGAGGAGGAGGAGGAGGAGGAAGGGGGGCCTGGGCCTCCCCCGCCCACGAGCGGCGGCGGCGAGGGCGAAGGGCGGCGGCTCCAGCGGCGCAGGCGTCAAACTCCCGCGCGAAGGCGCGCTGCGCGCGCTCGGCGGCCGCCCGCCTGCGCCGTCTTCGCCGCCGCCCTCACCTTCTCATGATTCGTCTTATTCTTTTATGTCAGCATGATTATTCGCATTGCTATTATTGTGCGTATTGTACGAATGTGATTCGTATATCCAGTATGATTCGTTATTACGAATGTGATTAGTATTAAGTATGTAATGCGTATTCTTGAAGTTTAGCATTATCATGCGTAGTATCGTTGTAATTAGTGTACACCGCATTATTATGTTATAGATAAATCTGACAGCCGTACTATAAGTCGTACCATTACTGTTGTTACGCTTAGCACGAACGGTTCCATCATTGTTTATCAGTCTCATGAATATCAGTAGTGTGTAAAGCACCCGCCCTATGCTTTAACAGTTTCAATGTTACTCGGAATAGTTGTGTTCACTTTGTTCGTCCTAGCATTTCTCTGAGTATAGCTATCGATAGCATCACCATTAATAGCGTTCAAAATATATTGTCCCATACGTATTACTTTTCTTCTCAGTAGTAATACAAAACTGAACGCGGCTCTTAAATGTATGATCATGGTATTATTACCATTAGGAGTGCCATTATGAACCACCTCCCTCTTTCGGCGGCAAGCCCAAGGGGAAAGCGAGGGGCAACAATCTCAGAACGCTCGGAAGGCCTTCGGTCTTCTGAAAGGTAGTCTGAACCGTCCCCGCAGACACATAAGAAATCTCAGAAGGCGCTAGGATTTATTGGAAGCCCCGCCGCCTTCCGAGAAGGCGTTTTCAATCACATGTCCCCCCCCACCGTGGGCGAATTTATGATGAACGGTATTAATGATAAGATAAGTATGACACTTGCTGCTATCATTACTCGTAGTACTACTACGACTGTTAGTATTAGTATGCTGAAGTGTTCGTAACACTATTCCTACTTTCTTACTAGTATTATTATCATTATTATTATTAATATGATTTTTATTTTAACCATTAATATTCCTTTCCCCATTATTATTATGATTCGTCGTCGTGGTCGTTGTCGTAATCGTCGTCGTCGTCTTTAACTTCGACGCCGTCGCCGTCGCCTTGTTTTTTTTTATTCCCGTCAGGGCCTGGGGTAGCGGTAAATCTTGGGCGAGGTGGGACACGTCGGGGCGGGGGGGCCATGCGATCGCCAGAGTATGCGCACGAGCGCGAGCCTGTGGGGGGGGTCCAGCCCCCCCCCCCACACCCTTCGTCCGATCGTTACCCTTACCCGTCTGGGGGGGGGGGGAGGGAATTTGCCCGAGGAACGACCGTTACGCAAGAGAGAATGAAGATGAAATCTCCCGCCGTCGCCGTCGCCGATGCCGTCGCCGTCGCCGCCGCCGATGCCGTCGTCGCGTTGATTTGAACGTTTCTGGTCCTCTTCTGGGTGTCTCTCGAAGCCTCTGCCGGTTGTGGACAAAACCCGCTCTAGCAAAAAACGCCCTTTAGTAAAAGCTACAAGGCGCAACCCACGTGCGCGCGGTACCGCATTCCGAGTTCACCTCAGCGGGGTGGCTAATCGACGTCTAGCAACAATGTATCCAGCGAGATGCACGCGGGGAATTCACCTGCACGTTCGAATTCCACTGTCGAGTGAGCCCGCGCAGATGTCCTTAGTTGATTTGTCCAGGGGCGCGTTCTGTCAGCGCACGACTCTGGGGGCCTGCGGGGGGGTCCGGGAACCTCCCTGGGCATCGTAGGCCCACGGGAAATCTGGAAGCAGCGAAGGGCCCCCTGGGTCACCTTTGGGGAGGGCAGGGGGGCCGTTGCCAGAGACGTCATTGCCTTGTCGTTGAACTCCTCTTCCCCTTACCGTCCTCCTCGTCCTCCTCCTTCTCCTCCGCCTCCTCCTCCTGCTCCTCCTCCTCCTCCTGCGCACGCAGTAGGCGCTCATGAGGTCCCCACGAGAGCCCTTCACTGCAAAAAAACTACGGGAGAGCACCCATCAAGACGACCTTTTTGCCACCTCCGATGCGGGGCGCCATCCACTCGGAGGGCCAGCGACAGGGTGCTCTCTCCGCGGGCGGCCTGGGCCCAAGCCCAGGCCGCTTCTCTCTAAATCGCCGGTGCGCCCGGGCTCGGCGAGGGGAATCCACCCTCTCCCCCGCTCGTACCTGCCTCGGCAAGGCCTCGCAAAACACGACTGCCCCAGGCAGAGGGGGCGGGCGGACACGGTTCCCTGAACAGCTTGGACATGGCGACTCCGCCCGCCCCACGCAGGCACAAACCGCCCCGCGCCTCCCGCCCGCGAGAGCGAAAGGAAAGGCACGGCGAGTGGCGCGACCCTCTCTCCGCAGCACCGCGATCGCTACATCGGCCCGGCCTTCCGCCGAAGAGGCCACGGGTGGCGGGGGGAATTGCCTGCAACGGTGGCACAACATCGCGCACCTTCTCAACGCGCTTGGGGGCCGGGGCACGCTCGCAATCAAGGTCGGCCATCGGCGGCCCACGCAGTCCGACCCGTCTTGCGAGGGCCGACACAACCTTTTTACTGACTTCTAGACTTCGCGCGACACTGCAGGGAAACTCCGCAGAACTCGGCGGCCTGTTTGTCATAAGCATCAGCCAAGTGGTTGCCGACCTGGGCTCGGGCTGAAATGGCGCCCGCAAGTACGTCCGATATGTCGGCATGCGCCTTGACCTTCAGAAGCTTCTGAGCTGCTCTAGGCCCCCTCTGTCTTCGACGGCGCGCCGCGCGAACTTCAAGATGTCAGCCCAGGCGGCCCTGGGCGAGCAACAGAAGAGGTGGCCCCTCTCCCAGACGCCCTTGAGGGCAAAACTGGAGTCCGCCCAGAAAGTCGCCCCAGGCATGGCTTGCCTGGGGCCCATCAGCAAGGCCCAGATCTCGCACGCATCAATGTCAAAGTGACCAGCAGGTAGCCACCCTTGCAACCACCGCCCGCTGCGCTCGCTCGGGAGGAAGGGTCGGATCATCGCGCGGCGCGACGATGGCCCAGCTGAGCGAGCGAACGGCGTGGGGAAGCTCGGAGTCAAACAAACCTCCGCCAAGAAAACAATCTCCTTCGAGCTCCCCGGGGGCCCCTACAAGCCACAGCCCCCCAGGGGGAGGGGGGGCAAGGAGGGGAGGGGGGGGGGGGCAGGCAGCGGCGCGAGCAGCCTCTCGAGCAGGAGACGAACGAGGGGATTGCCTGCAGCCTGAACCATGGCCTGAGCGCGCGCTGGCGGCTCCTGCTCCAATCCAAGGAGCCCCCGGTGCCCAGCGCAGCTGAGGTGCATGTTTAGCAAGGCCCCCGGGGCAGCAAATCACGCGCGACATGCCTGCGCCTGTGACAAACCGCGCTGGAACTGCCTGTCCTGCGGCCACTGACCGGCCGCAACAGCACCGACGACGCGCGCGCGCGCGCCCGCGTTCCTTTAACTTGGCCATGCTGGACTGCACAGGTGCAAGAGAGGGGCCCTGCTGGAACTCAAGCACCTGGAGGTGATCAGCCACCTTGCACCAGAGCCAACTTTCAACAATGGTGCCCAGAGCTTTCTTGACGGTCCGCGGACACAACTCTTCAACGGAGAAAACGCCCACGCTGGAATGATTTCACGCGAAACCGTTCATACGAATGCCGTGACGGAGCGCCGCGGCCACGGCAGCAGCGAAAGGGCCGCGGACGCATTGCCATGGCGAGGCGCGCCCCTGGGGTTTCTGCCACGCCCCTGCGAGACCCCGCTCAACCACGCCCCCCGGCACCCACCCGCCCCAGAGAGAGGAAGCGATGGCGAGGAGAGGAGAGACGTTGAGATCATTCGCAGGATCTAAACGCGCGACTTGAGACAACTGCAGCATGAGTGCGATGGATCTGCCTGACAAGCGCTGACTTTCAACAGACGCCCGCTGAAAACGAGCTTCCTCGAGCTCGCGCCCGTCGGTGCCCATCGCCCTTGGCCCATAGGAGGCGGGGGCCTGCGCGGCAGCGCGAACCATGCGACGCACCTAGGAGTCGCGCAACTTCTCAGCCAGCATGAGAACCTTCGTGGCGCACTATTGCAGTGACGCGCCTGCCCTTCCTTGCGCGACGCTTGATCGCGCCGCCTGCTGCGTAGGCCACGCCGAGATTGCGCTCTGACTGTGCGCTGGGAACTCTCATAGCACGGAGCGCAGCGGCCAGCTGTGCACGCAGCCGAGGGCAGGACGCAAGCACCCGAGACTTGGGCTTGCTGACTGGAAGATGGATGGCATCGAGCTCATCGCGCACCACGCGCGTAGCCTGGCACAAAATATCTCGCACCTGCTCGGAGGAACCAACCTCGCGCAACCCCGCGTCGTCAACGAACACCCATATCTGCATCCCCGAGCGGCGCGGAGCGGAAGCGCGGTCTGCACCGTGCCGAGCAGAGCGAGCAACACTAACTGCAGCATGACGGTAGCAAAATGACAACCTGGCAGCACGGCTTCCTCGGTGAGAATGGGCGCTATAATAATTAATAAGATACAATAAGATACAATAACATACTATCATATAAGATAAGACGAGATACTATGATATACTATCATAGAATAATCCACACTATACTACAGTACAATATAATACCATATAATAAAATAATACAGTATATTATACATTTATAAAAAAAAGAGTATAGTATATGATGATATAACTTAGTATGCTAATACGCATCCTCATCAGCATCATCAGAATCAGCATCGTCAGCATTTGCAGCATCATCCTCATCATCCTCATCATCATCAACACAACCATCCTCATCATCATCATCAGCATCATCACCATCATCGTGATCATCAGTATCAGCATCAACACCATCAGCATCATCATCAGCATCATGATCATCACCACCACCATCAGCATCATCAGCAGCAGCACCATCATCGTCCTCATTCCCATCACCCTCAGCATCATTATCGTCATCATCGTGATGATCATGATCCTCATCGTCAGCATCATCACACTCATCATAATCATCATCATCATCATCATCATCAGCAGCAGCAGCAGCAATATCATCCTCATCCCCATGCGCATCCTCCTCCTCCTTCGCCTCATC